GCGAACCAACTAACCTTTTCTTCCAGCCTCATGTCTTTAATTTGTGCTGGCAGACAATGAAATATTTACAAGGAACTCTACAGGCAATTACATTAAAAGTGTGTGGTTAGACACCGCCTACCCTTCAGCGGGGGCCCCCTCGGTGAGAGGCTGAGGGCCGATTTTGGTGAATGGTCGCAAAGTTTACAACGTCAGATTTTACTCACTATCAATTATTCAGAGCTGAGAGAAGCAAGGAATCAAGGAGGAGAAGAAGGACAAGAGTGAGTGGAGAAGAAGGGAAGGAGAGGAAGAGACGATGGCGGAAGGAGGGAGCGAGGAGAGGAGGCGTGTGCGTTCGGGCCGCGGCGGAAAAAAGGCTGCACTTCAGTGTCCATTTGCTAAATGTGGCAGAAAGGCGCAGTGTGGCAGCCATGTTCTGCTCGCTGAAAGCTTCGCGGACGTTTGATCCCTCAGAGTCCGTCCTGCACTCTAAACACACACTCGCCAAAGCACAGCTGCACACACACATGCACATACATTGTTCACATACACACAGAGTATCTGCGTGTTTAGAGCACAAACTCATCAACGTACACAATGCAAAGACGCAAACACTGCGAAAGAAACAAAACACTGCAGTTGAATTTCAGTGTCAAATAGTGCAACATAAAAACAAGATTTAACTAAAATAATGGCCAGTTTCTACTAAACAACGCTGACAGTTTTCACTCGCCATCAGTTTTTGGATCTTCCCAAAAGATCAGGTGCAAATCTCCGTTGGCTTGGTGCTCGCAAAGTTTAATAACCAGACGGGAACCTTCGGTTCTGAAAAGTGAAGCCGATGCTTCATGTGTTAAAGCTGCATTCTCTCTAGTGTCCACCAGGGGGCGACTCCTCTGGTTGTATAGAAGTCTGAGAACATGACTCTACTTCTCTCTTGATTTATTACCTCAGTAAACATTGTAAACATGAGTTTATGGTCTCAATCTCTAGTTGCAAGTCTTCTTCAATACAGCATGATGTTCATTTAGTACATTATGGTCCATTTAGAGTCACACAGACCATAAAGCAGGGGATGCTTTAGGGCGGGGCTACACGGTGATTGACAGGTCTCTACCAGAGGCGTCTCTACGTCACTCCTCCTCAGCCCAGATATGGTCACTTCCTGTTCATTGGTTGTAAAAATCCAAGATGGCGACGGCCAAAACGTTGAACTCAAAGCTTCAAAACATCAGACCACAAACCAACGAGAGACGTCACGACGTCTACGTTCACTTCTTATCTACAGTCTGTAATAATAACCCACACCGGAGGGGAGGAACGGGGGGAGGATGAGTCAAATAAACACAGGACATTCAACCAGGAGACCAGTGTTCGAGTCCCACAGTGTTGAGTTATTTAGAAGTTACGTTGGTGATGATCAAGACGTTATATTACAATCTTTATGTTAACTATGTGTTTTTGTTTGAATTCACAACGTTAACCACGTGTTTTCTGCAACCGTTGTAGAGCATCATAGTTTGGCGTGCTGGGCTACTCGGTGTGATAGAAAGTGGCGGCAATCCTTTTTGACCAAACGTCAGTACTTGACGAAAACGGTTTGATTGCGGAGATGCAGCCAATGAGAGAGCGAGACACCGGTTGAGGGGTTGTCTGTAACAATAGGAACTTGACTCCATGTGTTGCATTTACAAAACAAAAACAAACCGCTGTTCATCAACGTTGATTTATTTAAACTTAGCAAAGTATTTGTGTTGTCTAAACCTAACTAAGTTGTTTCCTGTGTAGACAGACCTTTATTTTGAAAAGACTGTTTGCACGTAACAAGCTGAAATTGAGATCTTGAAGTGTGAAAACCACGACGACTTCTGGACAAATTAGACTAAATTAATTGTGTATTTTCTATTTCCAAAATAATTGAGCTGCATCTACATTAGTGGCAGCAAATACACGGACAGGTGACGAATTAAAGGAATGTTATCCTTTATGAAAGCAGATTCAACATCTCTTCTGCTGGAGAGTCCGGGTCAAGATGAGCAGCAAGTTTCATATACGAGTGCAAACAAGGACCAAAAACATCACATTGAAAAAACACCAAAACACACAAACAGACACAAAACAAACAACCTCATTGTTCTGTAAAAACAGGTTTCAGATTAGAAACATGTCCCCTCAGAGGGAAGCTCATGTTTCTCGGAGACGTCTTCATAGTGAGGTCTGATGATGTGAACCATCTTCTGTGGACTTCACAGTCACCATCTCAACCCAGAACTCCTCCCTGCCTCCCCAGCTGGACTCCCTGCATGTCGTCCGTCCGGTGTCCCCTTCCCAGAGGAGCGTCCTGCCGGCTGATGTATATTTGATGAGCGGGTGCCGGGGACCCTCTGGAGAGCCAGGACACGCAGCGGGACAATGGACCTCGCTCAGGTTTCCTGTCTGACTGACACCGACACTGCTGCTCTCTTTGTAGGCGAGCGGCTGCAACCAGAGGGTTGAAGTTTCAACCAGGAGGCAGAGTTACAGCTCGGACAAGAGCAGCACCATCAGCTCCAACAGTACCAACAGCACCATCAGCACCAACAGCACCACCAGCACCATCAGCACCATCAGCTCCATCAGCACCATTAGAACCAGACAATAAAAGCAGCCTTGACATTGACAGACACAGTTATCCTCCGTAAACTAACCAAGAGTGACATTTTCCTCCACTTTGGGGATAATGATCAAACGTATGAGACAAAACAACATCCAGGATGTTGAGCAGTGATGTTTAAGAGAAGGAAACATGCAGAAAGGTTGACCGTCAGACTCTTTAAAGGCACAATGAGTAGAGTATAATAGTATATTTATATATACTGTATATAAATGCAATCAGGAGAGCAACATTGCATGAAGACATGCAGCCTTAACAAAGACAAAAACAACTTGCAATAACAGAGAATGCTTACAGAACAAATTAAGGACAATCTTCTCCAATACAAGTTATTGGACATTCATAACCAAGATATGTACTCAACTCATCTTAGGTTCTTGCAACATTGGCTCACCTTTCATAGGGTAGAATTAATATTAATGTATCATACCGTATTGATTACGTAGGTGATGTACATGTAGCCAAACATGCATGTTACTGACCACATTAGATAGAAATAAGTTAGTTCTTTGGCATGCTGCAGAACATGAATCATCATATCTACATTCAGGAGTCACATTATGAAGTATCTTATATTTGTGTATGAGTACATAGAAAAAGAAGATTTGTCCGTTGCCTTTTTATTGAGGTCGACGCCCAGAAACGTCCCGAAAAGCAACATGAGAAGATCCAGTTGGAGGGCAGCAGAGTGTGTGCAGACACACAGACCACCACACTCTGCTGCTCACAGAGGATTCCAGTGATTCCGTGTTTGTTTGAGAGACTCCTGCTCAGTGTGACCTTTGAACCCTGTTTTCTGTTGCTTCACTTTACTACACACTGCTCACTGACTTAAAGCAGCTTCATCAGTGACACTGCTTCATCAACACAATCACAGTCGTGCAGAACTAAGTTGCTTTCATTTGCACCATAAATCCAAAAAACATACATGAGTCAGTGAGCAGTTTAATAATCACTTTTGTTTCATTTTGTTGCTGCAATGTTGAAAATACTGTATTAAAAATGTAATTGTTTTATTTTTAATTTAATTTTAATGGATAAAAAAGATGAACCGAATATATAAGAGATGCTGGATTCCCCATTGTTTTACCAAATATTTATTATTGTTATTATTATCGTGACTTTTATCATTTTTATGATTATTAAATATTATTATTATTGTTTATCATTATTTTATTATTATTATGTACCAACAGCCCGATAATCCCTCAAAGGGGGTTTACCTGGAGCCCCCCCCCCCCCTCTGGGAGCGCCTTTAGCTGATTATTGGGATAAGTATTCCGTGTTGTCGCGCGCGTGTCTGCCCGCCGGAAATCCCCCTTCTTTTTGATTGACAAGCCGCTGCCCCGCTGACCTCGCGAGGTTCATCGGTAAATATTTCATCGTCTGCTGCTCGTGCTCTTTAGTTCCCGTTCAGGCCTGTTTATTCTTTAATTGAGAGAAGTGTGTGTGTGTGTGTGTGTGGGGGGGGGGGGGGGGGGGGGGG